CTTTGCTTGCTCGCCAATGAGCCCTATTCCCATTTCGACTTTTGGCCACGAACATGTATAAAAGTGACTACACAATAAATTACGTGTTATTAAGGACGGTCTCTTTTCTTTTATCTCTCTTTATGAATCATCTTCGTTGTTTAAACAACGAAGATGATTCATAAAGAGAGACAAAAGAAAAGAGACCGTCCTCAATAACACGTAATTTATTGTGTAGCCACTTTTATACATGTTCGTGGTCAAAAATCGAAATGGGAATAAGGCTCATTTTCAGTTCACTCAATGTTGATAACTCAGACAACAATATTATACTCAATATAAAAACAAGTTGTTTAAAAATTGACGATTTTAATTACTTTTGCATCATATAATGAATATTTGTAGATTGTAGTTTATCATACGAGAGTATATTGACTTGACAAATAAAAAATGAAGATAAAAATGATTTAAAGCTTAATTGCGAAATATATACAATATTGATATTTTCCACATGTGTTAGTATATATCTATTCTGACAGATATTGGCAAAATGCTTCATTCATTATTTATATTTCTAGAAAACATAATCAATTTAACTATAAAATTTTTCAACAAGTTACATTGCATATTAATTGTATCTCATCATTTGCTTTGTCTTTTTACTTAAGAAATCATTTCAAGTACAAAATTATGTAAACCACAATTTACGTATCATGTTAAGATATGTACAGCATTCTTCATAATCGACGTTAGTGATTGTAACATTCCTATGAGATAGACTTTAATAATATCAAACCGATCATGTAAAATTTATTTATCTTTGAGTGATGTTCGAATTTTCTGATATTTCAACTATAAATAGAGCTAGTCCTGATATTTCTTGAATATTCTGCATTAATAGTACATCTTTGTGAAGTAATATATAACGAAGCTGAGATCAATTCAGTTCGAAAAAAAAAATGTGAATCAATACCTTCTCTGATACATAAAAAAAAACAAATTTTTATGTATAAAACTACATTTGAAAAGTTACAAATGGAATTATTCTATCGAAACTTATTTTATTTATCATCCAATAAATTCTAATCGATGTTTTTTGTAAACAATGTAAAAATAAGGTTGTGAATATTTCATTGTATTATTTTTGTGGTCTTAATCATATGTTCACAATGATCAATTGTATTCTGTTCTCATTGTTAATACGATGTTTAGTTGATCTATTTTTTTATTGTTATAATACTCTTGTTAACAAGACTAAACGGTTAAATTTGTATAGTAATTAATAATAGGAGTTGTTTTTTTTTCTCGCATTATGATGGCTCACAGTTTCGTTATATGAAATCCTTCGAAATAGATTCATCCTAAATCTGATTTCTTAGTTCTACTTAAAGAAGCAAATTTAGTAAAGGATTTTTCATGATTATCTCGAACATATTAATTTTTGTCTTCGATGAACACAGTCGATTTCTTTTTTTTCATATTCAATTTTTTATTTCGTAAAATATTAATAATTTAGAAAAAGAAAGTAAAGAAACAATTCTGTAGCAAGATAATATCTTCTACTAGGTTTTAATTTATTAAATCTTTCTATCGTGATATCGCTGTAAAAGATATTCTTCAAGTGTCTTTGTCAATACGATCAATATTGATTTTACTTTTTGCGACAATATATCCTGTATGAGAAGAAAAAAAGAGTACCTATTGATTTGCATTACATGTACGTAAAATTATGTCAAACACTATGAAATTGATCTTGTTTCATATTTGAATTTTGTAAAATATTCGATAGATTTTTTTGTTTTCCATTAATCAATATTGAACAAATTAGTTCTAATAATAAATCACAAGTTTCTCCTGCAGACATAAAAAAAGAACGAAAATAAGTTCTACTTTCTATTCATCATCATTCAATTTTCAAATTTATATTATTTTGGCTGAAACAAATTCTGTAAAAAAAGAATTCTGTTTTTTTATTGATTTCTATTAGAGAACGATAGTAACTGTAATTTATGCAGTGGAAGTTGCGGTGTAAAACATCTTATCAACATTCCTCTTTTCTCTCTCTGTCTCCATATTATATGCAGATGAAATTCGAATGAATTGTAAGAAAGCAAGAACAAACAGCAACAAATACAGCAGACAAAAATTCATTTTAAGTTGTCATGATGATCATTATTCGAAATGAAACCATGATGCTTTTTTTCGATGTGATTCACCCTTCTGCTTTTTTCAAACTACTATTGAGTTCATTCTAACTAAGTCTTGTTCTCTCTCTCTCTCCCTTTCTCTGCCTTTTTCACTCGCATCACCGCTAGTACTTCAAACTCGTTGTCGATTCATATGGCAACGAAACAAACAAAGTGGTTGTCGTCGACGTCGTCGTTGTCGTCTTTGTCGTTATATTGTATTGTATTCTTTGTTCATTGCCCGACGACGAACGTTGGAGAGGGAAGAACAAGAGCAAAAAGCAAAAGAGAAATGAAAAATCGTATGTTATAAGTAGCCATAGAAACATGGCTATTCATTGGTTGCCATCAACATATCGCGAGAACAAATGTGTATTGTGAAAGTTAGAGAGAAAAAGTGAGAAAGAGAGAACGAGAGAAATAACGTCCCTATATAAAGCTCTGTGCATGTTCGTTGATAGTCGTTCGCCTCTCTCTATCGTTTTCTTCAACATCATTTCTTTTCTTTACTCGTCGTTCGTCGTCGAAGCAACAAACATCAAATATGCGTGAAATCGTACATAGTAAGTCTAATCAAAAATAAAAGATAAATTTCTGATATATATATTTATTCAATAAAAAATTATAGTGCAAGCTGGTCAATGTGGTAACCAAATTGGTGCCAAAGTACGAATAGAAAATAATTTTCGAAAGGTTTAAAAAAAATTTGTTTTATTTTGTTAGTTCTGGGAAGTTATCTCAGACGAACATGGTATTGATCCAACTGGTACATACCATGGTGATTCAGATCTTCAACTTGAACGTATCAATGTTTATTACAATGAAGCCGCTGGTAAATAAAATGAGAATTGTCTTTTTTCTTTTGTTTGACTGAGACAATTGAAAATTTGATATTCAATCTAGGTGGTAAATATGTGCCACGTGCTGTTCTCGTTGATTTGGAACCTGGTACTATGGATTCAGTACGTTCAGGTCCATTCGGTCAACTATTCCGACCGGATAACTTTGTTTTTGGACAATCAGGAGCTGGTAACAACTGGGCCAAGGGTCACTATACAGAAGGTGCTGAACTTGTTGATTCCGTTTTGGATGTGGTTCGTAAAGAGGCCGAATCCTGCGATTGTCTCCAAGGCTTTCAATTGACACACTCATTAGGTGGTGGTACTGGATCGGGCATGGGTACATTACTTATTTCAAAAATTCGTGAAGAGTATCCAGATCGTAAGTTAATTTTAATTGTCTTAAAAAAAAAAATTATTATTTTATTCTCAAGGTATCATGAACACCTTCAGTGTTGTACCATCACCAAAAGTCTCGGATACAGTTGTTGAACCGTACAATGCCACATTATCAGTCCATCAATTGGTCGAAAATACTGATGAAACATATTGTATCGACAATGAAGCTTTGTATGATATTTGCTTCCGTACATTAAAACTTACAACACCAACATATGGTGATCTTAACCATCTTGTCTCTGCTACTATGTCTGGTGTTACAACCTGTCTTCGATTTCCTGGTATGATCAATAAATAATACGTAACATTGTTAAGTATTTATTCCGTTTGTTTTAAGGTCAACTCAATGCTGATTTACGTAAATTGGCTGTCAATATGGTACCATTCCCACGTCTTCACTTT